GAAATATCACCCCTAATTTTGTAATCCAAAAATGATACTCCTTATGTTTCAATTTATGTGACTGTTTACCCTCGAATCCGGATAACAATTGAATTTATATGGGGTTTTAAGGATCCGTGAACTAAAAGATACAAAAGGTTTTGAGGAAAAATAAAGATAAAGACTCAACAATTGCTGTTAAAGTAAATAATCGCAGAATATAATATTGCTTAGAACAATTGTGCTTGATGCCTACAAGAATTTAGAGAGATCTCCTTTTATACATTCTGATTAAGGGTAAAAATAAGGTAGGTAAATTGATTACATCGTGGATCCCTGTAATTACGCCTTAATGGCCTGAAGTGGTTGAGAAAATCACGTTTGGGCGAGATATCCGGCGACGCTTGGTTATCCGTTACGAGTCCGGCTTCCGACCTTGTGTGTTTCTCCATCCGGTGGTGACTCATATCGAGCTCTGTAACGGTCTCGAAATGACTCGACCTCGGTTGTAGACGTGGCCGTCGTTCTACCTTGCATCCAGGTCGGGTTCGATGGCCCCGACTCGCTCCGGACCGGACCCAACCCGGTCGGGCTCAAGCAAAAAAAGGGTATCACCCAATACAGTGACCCTTTTCACTTTTTGAGATTCAAACTTTTTAATTTCGACTAGGAGTGGCAAACATGCAGGTCGGGTCGGATATGAGACAAGTAAAAACAGGTGATGAAAAAACGGATAAATTATCCGACTCGACCCATATTTAATACGGATAAAAAATAGGTTAACCGGCGGATAATATGGGTAACCATATTATCTTTGGCTTCTTGAATATGATCACTTTTGGGATAATTTGAGGCTTTACAAATGTAAAAATTAAACCCATTGGTTATTCATTTTCTAAATGGAAGGGTTCTTATCCATATTTGATCCGTTTTTAAAAAGTTCAGTATCCAACCCATTTTTTAGTGGATTATATGGATGATTAACTGTTTTCTTTTAACCCTTTTGCCACCCCTTAATTTTTACTATCCATTTGGACATAGAATTTTTTAGTTTTTCAAAATAAAATTTATATTTTTAGAAACTACGTAAAAAGTACTGTATAAGTCACAATAATTAATAATTCAAAATATTTAAAAGGCATATTAAAAAATTACGATTAAAGAATAATTGGTTTGACTCTCGAAATCCAAACAACTTCACATAAATTTGGACGGAGAGAGTAATTTACTACTCCTATAATAGAAGTAACAATGGTACCATAAAATTTTTCTTTACACCATCATGCATGGTGAAAGAGTAGAGTTTGAAAATACAAAACATAAGGAAAGATCGAAGATACGTATCAAGGCTTTTGGCTCTAGCTTTATTAAATGATGAAGAAAAGAAACGTTTTGTAAGCACTTGATAAAATTAAATAGTAGGAAAAATTGTTACGTATTACCAACTCCAACACATTATTGGTATCTCTTTCCATCTTCTTCTAAACTTGAAAAAGCCATCTTAATTCTCATCTCATCCTCCTAAAATGCACTACTAGTTTCTAACACTTGAATAACCATGGATGAGCAAGAGATTCTTGGGAAAAAACAGTAGAAGAAGCTTACGACTTCATCAACATTCTTCCAAAACCAGAAAATGACTCAAAATCAACTTCTCTCTACAAAGACATTCCTCTTAACTCCACAAACAACACCTTCATACGCCTTTTCAGGCCAACAAATCCATGCGAAAACATGAAGCTCCCACTCATCATATACTTCCATGGAGGTGGCTTCATACTCTTTAGTGTAACTTCTGTTATCTTCCGGGAATATTGTAGCTCCATGCATGGCAGCTCAAGTTCCTGCTTTGATTGCCGCCGTGGAGTATCGGCTCGCTCCCTAACACCGCCTCCCTGCCGCCTATGAAGATTCCATTGATGCTATCAAGTGGGCTAAAGATCAAGCTATTGGTGATATTAACTGTGATCCATGGTTGAAAGAGCTTGTTGACTTCTCCAAAGTGTTCTTGATGGGCAGTAGTTCACACTACTAGAAAATGGCAGATTTCCGACGGCCAAAAAGGTCGGAATTCGGTAGGAAATCACGTATTTCTGACTACTTTCTGACCGAATTTGGTCGGTCGGAAAAAAGTTGGTCGGAAAACGATTTCCGACCGAATCCGTCGGAGATTTCCGACTAAAGTGGTCGTAAATTTCGAAATGGTCAGACTACCAAATAATTCAGTTCCCCGACTAAAGTGGTCGGAATTTACCGACTGAATCGGTCGTAATAATACAAGAAAATACATAATTAAAAATTAAATTTTATTTATTTTTCCGACGGAATCCGTCGAAAACTGTTGAATATTAATTTTTTTTTTTTTGAAATTTTCGACCAAATCTGTCGGAAATTAATAATTAAAAATTAACTTTTATTTAATTTCCGACGGAATCCGTCGAAAATATCTGAATATTAATTTTTTTTTAAAAAATTTCCGACCTAATCAATTGAAAATCTGACAATTTATTATTAAATCTGGGGAGCTTTCCGACCGTTTCAGTCGGAATTTTGTACAAAACTGGGCAGAATTCTGCCCAATTTCGAGCTACACCACCTGTCAAACTATCATAAACAAAAAAATACCAACCAACAATCTAAACCAACAATACATTAACACTATCTAAATTAACAATACATTAACAATTTCTAAACCAACAATGTCAACCATTAACACAACTTAAACCAACAATACCAACCTTTAAACCTAACAACTTTGGGCATAAAAACATCCAAATAGCAGCTTATATTCAAGTTTAAAAGCAATACATAAAGTTGTCTCTCACAATCAAGTTTACCAATCAACCAAAACATCACAACTAAACTACTACACATCAGATTCAGTTTGTTCATCCTCATCATCAGATAAATCAAACCCATGTTTACGCATGAATTTCTACATCTTAACAAATATTCCGTTNTATGTTATGCCTTAGGGATTGGAATAAATTGCATCTACTATGACTGAGCATGGTCTGTTATGTTGATAGGTTGAACAGAACCTTACCATGATTAAATCATCACCCTTAACATGTATAACATATCCATGCCTCCTTAGTAAAAGCTTTCATTGTCTTGAACTTCTATAAATAACACTGTTAGTCTGATTTCATGATGTTTGATACTCAACTATGTTTGTAATGTTGTAATCCTGTAAGAATGTCTCATGTGTATATTCAAATGTTATCTTTGGAATATCCTGCACTCATCTTGTTCTTAAACAAACTCTGCATGTCTTACATGCTCATGTATGTGCCTCTGTTATCATGTAACCTTGTTAAGTTCATATAAGTCAACTATAATTCACTTATAAACTTAGGAGTGATCTTTTGATGCTTATCTGCCATGTTTGAGTGTAAGATTGTGTATTAACTTCTAATGAGCCTAGAATGAATGAGAAATTTCTCTAGAGATCATATCATTTGTTTAAGTAAGGACCAATTTGTTTGCTTAAGTATCCCTGTTGATATTCCTTAAGGATTCTAAAGTGGACTGTTAACCCCTATACTCAGTGAGAAATGAAGTGCTTATTTTTGTCAGAGACCAACTTAAGTACCTGGAATTGCTACCCTTGAATTAGTGGACATGGGAATCAACTTGCTTAAAATCCACGGCATGTTGTTGACTAAGCAATGCATATCTGTAAGTACAAATTTAAAATTTTTTATAGTTAGTCAGAAATTAATTACTCATATACTACTTCATCAAGTAAGAATATCAAAGAAAACGGGATAAACTTGAATACCGGTTACACAGCAACAAAATCAGTAACCAAACAAAACTTTAATTGGTACAAAGAATAAAGAATTTCACACTCTCATATCCTAAAATCTTGAACTCTTGCACTCAGCAGAAAAGCCTTGAGGAAACCTCTTAGAATCAGCACAATAGTTATAAACAATGTGTCTGCTTTGTACCCATCTTAGCCTATTTCTTCCCTTACCATCAAGTTCATGAGTTTGCCATGGCTAAGCATTGTTTGTTGAATTGCTTGATTTACATGACGAGGTACCGGATAACACTGCACAACCATGTCAAGTACGGGCTTTTTGTTGGTCATTAAAATGCCTTGAAGTGCACGACTAAGATAAGCCCCAAGCATAACAGTAATTTCAAATTGTAGCTCATATTTATCCCACATGCTGACATACTTATGAATTAACTGTACTGTCAGGGAATCATATGCACATATGACTGAGACATTGGAAGAGGAAGAAAGAAACATGCATTAGTGAGTTTCTCTGAAGCAAAATAAGGTTGGAGGGATTTCTGTAAAAGCTCTTCTGAAAGAGATCCTTATGAAGAACAACAATTGAAAGGCCTAGACTAGATTTCAAGAAGAGTTAAGTTAACTTATCCACCAAACCAAGATAAAAAGATCTGCATATTACAAAGTACCTGACACTCCCCTGAAAAGATTTCAGTTTCAGCCCATCACATAACATGTCATATAATCAGCAAGCTTTACAATCATACTTCAAAGAATAAACAAGAGCAAAGAAAGAAAAATGGTATTCATGTACTGTCTGGATAAATCAGATTTTTTTTTCAGAAATGCATATTTACTAAAAAAATGCAGAAAAACATAAAAGATAAATCAGATTTTTTTTTCAACTTGAAGATAAATAAGATCAATTCTTTCATAAATGGAAAAAAGGGAAAACAAAAGAAGCAGATCTTCAAAAGTATATACGAAGCTAGAAACTCAATCAAAATATTTGACCTCTCATACAAAAAAAAATCTTAGAAATAAAGATAAGGGGATTTATGTAACAAAATACGTTATACTAAAGGATAGTACTTGACCTAAATTTAGAACAATCTGATCTTGCATAAATTGAGGACAGAGAAAGTAGTAGTAATTCTTATTGTGAAGTTAATGAAGTAAAACAAATGAAGATATTAAAGACCATAAATTTACAACTCCAAAATACAGACACCTCTATCTTCGTCCTCATTTGTAATCATCTAAGAATAACAAGTTAATCTTCATCTCTATCTTCATAGTAATCATCTAAGTCTTCATCACTTTCATCTTGTAATTCTTCCTCATCACTTGTTTCATGTTCTACACCTCTATCTTCGTCCTCATTTGTAGCAAGGACAGAAGGATCAAATTCTTCATATATCCCTTCATTATGCTGCAATTCATCTGCTAATTCATCATCCACTATTGATTCAACATTTGAAATGTCATTCTGGTACGCCACATCTAATGCATCTTCGANAAAAATCTATTATTGCATTTTGATGCTGAGGATGCCATGTACACCTTGTCTGCAATATAAAAAAGTAACATTAGATGAAGATGATAATTATTAATAAATATAATAATTTTTTACCCAAATTGATTCCACATTTGCTCTCTGATGCTGTACGGTATCTTTTTCCAAGAAGTCCACGGCTCATGATAAAATGGCTTCATAGAATCTGTAACCATATGTGTAGCTTGAAAGGATGGCAAAAACCTGTATTAAAGTTAACATATATATAATTAATAAATATCTTTTAATTGCAAATAAATACTCGTTAATGTTAATATATCTAAATGTACATTCAAAACATAAAAATTTGTATAAGAACCTTCTTACCCATTCTTGTGGGGGACGATTATCAATCGATTATAACTATCAAATTGTACATCCCCTCCAAGATTCTGCCTGCGTCTACGAGATGGTGCAGAAGCAGCACTAGATGTAGCTGGGCGAGAGCCTCCAATATCCAACCTAGATATGCTGGGAATGGATGATGATGATGGACTGGAAGATGATGGAGCAACAAAAGACGCACCATCATGCTGACTACCATGAAAGCTCGGGGGTGCAGCAGCTGGTGAGCCAGTATGCTGACTACCATGAAAGCTCGGGGGTGCAGCAGCTGGTGAGCCAATATGCTGACTACCATGAAAGCCCGGGGGTGCAGTAGCTGGTGAGTCAGTATGTTGACTACCATAAAAGACCGAGGGTGCAACAGCTGGTAAGCCACCATGTTCACTACCATGAAAGCCCGGTGAAGATAATGGTATAGAAGGTGTGAGCACAAAGTTAAAAACAGTGTTACTTTGACTGCCTTTAGCAGGCATAGAATAATACTGAACTGAATTATTAGATGGAGGGGGGATAGTGAACATGGTAGATGGCAATGAAGTCGACTGAGGAGGATGAGGAAGAGGATGACTCATATTTCGCATAATTGAGGAAGTTGGAACAGGTTGTTTTTTCTTCTTAGATTTTATTTTTCCCTTCCCCTTAGATGCCATATCTGTAATATAATCATAATAAAATACAAAACAAAAAATACAACAAGTGACAGTAAATACAAAATAATTAAACGACTAAAGAAATAAATAAACAACCTAACAATCACGTGATTAACACATATAATTATAAGAATATACTGATATAGTCTACTTGTAAATAAATCTAAATCGCTATGCAGCAGAAGTAGAAATGCCTAAGGAACTGTCTTAAATAGTAACATTCTTATTCAACTACGTACTTATTGTGATCTAAAATCTAATAGCATAAAACTTAATCTCTGAGTAGAATGAATTTACCAAGTAGGTATTACTTGTCAACTAAATATTCAGAAAAATAGTCCAAATCAATTTATCTACAACTTTGTTGGATCTAAAGTTTTCGGTGAACTTGGCTTCAATTGATATAACTGCAAAAAAGTTCTGTTACCACTGACTTGAGCATAGTTTAGTGCTGTTACCACTGAAGCAGAAAAGTTCTACTGTTTCAAATAAGAAACTTAAGTATTCTGCAAAAAGCATAATAATTTGTGAGAACTTTTTTTCTAAAACCACAGTAAATCTAAAGACACAATCTGGTACTCTATTGTCTTCTACTGTTGAATCTTCTTTTTCTGCCTTGAACTTATATCTAGATTGAATTTTCAAGCTGAATTGGCAACAGTCAATAGACCAGTCGCGCCTGTTTACTAAAATACTTTTTAGAGATATAGCATCAGCAAAATGGGAAGGATTTCCTCCAGTCGCTTAACCAAGTAAAAGAATAGTAATTTCTAGTTATTCTTTGTTCTGCGGAATTTGAGTGATCATATAAAAGGAAAACTGAAGATCTAGCACAATCTATGGAATTTAAAAAATACATTACTCATATTGACAAAACTAGGACAAAGAGCAAGATGACAATCACCAACTTAGCATTCCTAAAAATGTAAGAGACCAACTAAAATTAAGTACCTGGAACTGCTACCCTTGTATTTCGCCTAAATTCATGATTCATTGGCAAGAATCTACGGTGGCAGTCGAACCATGTATTTTTACCTCTATGTTTCAAAGTAAATGCTTTAGTGTCTTCCATACAACAAGGGCAAGCTAACTTTCCAGCAGTCGACCACCCGGACAACATTCCATAAGCAGGAAAATCATTTATAGTCCACATCAAAGCAGCATGCAATCTGAAGTTTTGTTTGGTTGATATATCATATGTTTCCACACCTTGATGCCATAATAATTGTAACTCATCAATCAAAGGCTGCAAGTATACATCAATCAAACTTTTCGGATTGCGTGGACCTGAAACAATACAAGTTAGGAACAGATATGGACTTGTCATACACAACTCCGGCGGAAGATTATATGGAGTAACAAACACTGGCCAACATAAATATGGTGCGGCAGAGACAGCAAATGGAGTAAATTCATCTATGCATAATCCCAACCTAATGTTTCTTGGTTCACTAGCAAACTCGGGAAACACCCTATCAAAATGCTTCCACGCTTCTCCATCTGACGGATGGCAGAGTATACCAGGTGGCCTTCTATGTTCGTAGTGCCATCTCATATGAGGAGCAGAGCTCATTGATGCATACAACCTCTTTAACCTAGGTATAAGAGGTAAGTAATGCATCGCTTTAACTGGAACTTTCTTTTTTGTATTGGCATTTGTGACTTCCTTAAAACGAGGCTGATTACAAAATTTACAGTTCTCTAGAGATGCGTCATCCTTATAGAATAACATGCAACCTTTCTCACAGCAATCAATTCTCTCTGATGAAAGACCCAACTTAGAAACCAATTTTTTAGCAGTGTAGAAATCTTTTGGTAAGTCAATGTTACTCGGATTAAGTTCATTCATAAGGCCAATAATAGAATCCATGCCCGCTTGGGAAATAGAACTATCCGATTTAATACTTAGCAATCTAACTGCACAGACAACTTGGAATGCACCGAACCTTCATACAATGGACGACTAGCTTCTAGTAACTGTTCATAGAAACGCTTAGCCTCATCATTTGGTTCGGATTGAACCCCAGGAAACGTCCCAAAAGCATCCCTCATCATTTCATTGTATCGAGAATTTTCAACATTATGCTCCGAAATGGGGCTACCCTCACCACCAAAAGAATTATGAAAGTTAGCATCATCTAAACTAGCATGATTCTCCCCGTGAGCAGTCCATATATAATAATTTTCTACAAAACCTTTCTTGTAGAGATGGACTTTAACTTCGTCTGATGTCAATAACTTAACACATTTACATTTCACACAAAGACACCTAATCCTTCCTCCAATAAGAAATCATCAAGTGTTTGAGCCTTAGCAATAAATTCAGCAACCCCTTTAATAAATTCATCCCTCAACCCCGCACGATTAGGATGATTCCTATTATACATCCATCTACGATGCACAAATTCCATCTACACAAATAGAAATCTATAAATGAGATATTTAATATAATTTGATTTATTTAAACTGTTTAGCAAGTTTTTCATATATTAATGTGTAACAATATCTTTTGCACTTGAAAAATGATCAAGACAAGAAATAATTTAACAAATATAGTACTTATTTAAAGTAAAATGTGTATTACAATCTCTAAGTCTTAAGAAAGTATCCTGTGATTCTTCTCCTCAGCTAATTCAATAACATAATACTCCCAACATCTTTTACATACAGTATTCACCCACATATAAAGTCTTTATAAAGTGACCCCAAATTATTGATTTCATAAGGACCCAAAAATATTATACTACGTACTTTTTTCTATAACGAAATAGAATTTTGATGATTTGAGTTTTCAGCACATATCTAACCCCCTTCTTCAGCCCCTTCCCCAAAATAATTTGCTAGTTCAATAGCTTAACTTTTCACAAAATCTTTTAATTATAATTCGAAACTTAATAGGCATTTGTATAATATTTGGTTGAAGAAAAAAAATAGTATTTGAAGTTAAAGTAAAAAACAAAATAGCAGATACTAGAATATCATTATTCAATCACTCAAATTATAAAAGAAAAAAAAACTTCAATTGTAATTGGCCCTAATTAATCTCATCCTACATTTTGATAAAGGCAATTGGAAAGTTGAAACTATGAATATTTCCTTCTATCTTCGGGACTAAGAAATTAGTAGCTATATGGACTATGCCATGAAATTTCCAACCATATATTCCTAGGAATCCACTATCTCCTACACTAATTAAACCAAGACTTTTGAACGTTAAGAACATGACGCTCTATTGCGCCGTCAATATCCCTAATCTCTTCAAATTTTATGTTCAATAACCAAGAAATAATTTGCCTTATTATTTTATTCTCTAGGTTACCTCACTTGGCCAATAAGAATAGCGGCTCACTAGCTACTTATTTAATATACTATATTATTCCATATATAATAAATTTTATTCATGATCAAGGATGATCTAGTGTCCATATTCTATTTTTCTTAATTGTTAGTTGCTGTACTTTTTACAGTTAGTTCAGATTTTAGTGAAAATAAATCTGGTGGTAGAACAAGTCGTCAGCAACCAACAAGCTGGTAACAGACTTTTAAAAAGCTCTTGATTTTTAGCAACAGTTCTGATGATTTTTAGGAATAGAATCAGACCCTAAGTAGGATATAAAAAGATATGTGTAGCTGCTTGAAAAACCCACACATAGAGAGAGAAGAGAGAGAGGTGTTTTGCTATGTAATTCCTCTCAATTTCAACAATAAAAGAAGGTCTTTCAGTTTGAGTTTCATTGTCTTTTCTCTTCTTCTTTCCTTAATGTTTTGATTACACTATAGAACTATTGCATTCATTGAACACTCCTCACTTAAGCAGCAGATCATATTTTGGTATAAGAGCAAATAGATCCTGCATGTGGATGGCGCAAACGAAGTCCGGGTACAAAGCAACATGTGAACAACTTTCTGAATTGCACATACATCGACGTTCAGTGCAGCAACTAGTCCGTGCAATGGCCAGCGTCGACGAGGCTCCATCTTCTTATCTGCCTGAGCAAGTTGCAAAGCTTACATTTGATATGGCTGTTGTCCTTAATTGGTTNNGGAAGCAAAGGTTGAAATCCCTGTGTACGAAGGAGTAGTTGATCCAGAGAAACTAGATCATGGCTAGACCAGTTGGAGACATATTTCACTCTTCAGAGGTTTAACAATGCACCAAAAGTCGCCTACACACCGTTAAAAATGATAGGACATGCAAACTTGGTGAAAGGCTATTACTAAAACTAGAGAAGTTGATGGCCTTACCTGGAGTCAATTTAAGCGCCTCGTACAAAAGGAATTTTATCCTATGGGTACTTAGAAGAGTGATGGAACCAGTGGTATCGACTACGACAAAAGAAAGATCAAACAGTACAAGACTACATCTCTGAGTTTAGGCGACAGGCACTAACCTTGGGAGTATCCTTGAATGACCCATCGACCTACACAAATATCTAGTTTACATGAGCGGATTCGGGCTGAACTAAGTCTATTTCTAGTTTAGGATTTATCTAGTGCAAGCACCACAACAATGGCTATTGAAAGAAAAAATAGAGCGTATGGCGAGAAGAAGTCACAAACGTGAAATTTCAAGCAGACCAAGAAATTCAGTCCTAAAAACCAAAAGAAGGGTGACGCTTCTTCCCTAACATCCAAATCTGAAAAGTATTGTGGGCACTGTAAAATTGCAGGTCATGACAAGAAAGAATACTGGAAGTTGCATCTAAAATTGTTACCTAAGAAATGGAAGAAAGAGGAGAAAGGGAAGCATACAACAGCACTAACTGTTGTTGAAGATCTTGTTGAGCTCAGGAAAGTAAGTAATGCGTACACGAGTTTATCTTTGATGGCCATGCCGAAGGAGATAGGCTCGCGACCACCCTCTACACCGAACATTAAAGAAGAACTATTCGCTGTGCGTATTCAAGTTAAACAAGATGTGATTGGAGCTATATTCGACCTTGGAAGCCAGAAAAATCTTATATCTGCAAGCTTAGTGCAGAAGCTAGGATTGGAAACAGTGCCTCATCCTCGTCCTTATAACTTGAGATGGATTCACAAAGGAGCAGAGTCTCTATTTCGGTTCACTTCGGTCGGTTTAAACTTGCCCTATTAGGATTTTCTTCAGTCATTTTTTATAACTAAAAGTAAGTTTTAAAAGTTAACTTTTTCTACAATTGACTTATCTTATTAAAATAATATGTATTGTCGATTTCAATAATAAGTTCCTATAATCTACTCTTACTTTATTCCAAACAATCAACTCTCAATAAGCAGTTTTAGATCAGACCAAAGCCTAGCTAGCAGATGCAAACTCACGATATGATAGCTAAAATAGCTAGGCTTAATGACATTTTTATCCGTACTGCACATAACAAGTTGAATCACAAAGTAGATGGCATGAATATTCTTCACTATAGCGCAACTGAAACAAAATTAAAAGGAAACAACATGACATATTATTGCAAAGATTATACTAGTAAAACTACCTAAAACATTCACATTCTTCACGAGTTAGGCAATTGACATATGATCAACAAGAAGAAGCAAAAGAAAAAAAGAGCTATCCAGATAAATGCTCGCCGCGAGAACGTACACCAAATTGGGACTTTCAACTGGATTAGTCGGCTCTTAAAGGGGTACAAAAAATATTAGAAAAATCACACAGGTGAAGGGGAGGCCATCAGAATCTACAGTATAAAAGCAACCGAATCAAGTTTATTTTTAAGTTTAAAATTCAATCCTTTTAAATTAAGTTTCAATGATTGGAGTGGAGGATCTGTACGCAGTGGAGGGTTTGGGTGGGGAAACTTACCTGGTAGTGGAGGATCTCGACGGACTTGCAGCGGCGCCGGCGAGTGCTGCTCGTTGATGGAAGCGGAGGGTTTAGGTGGAGAGAAGTTTAAGTGAGAGAGAGAAGAGAGAAGGAAGAAAAGAGGAAAAGGAAAAGAGAAGGAGTTGCTGAGGGTTTTTTAAAAAACTCTCCGACCGATTCGGTCAGTAGGTTGGTCAAAAGTAGTCAACCTCGTTTTACTAAATATTTCCGACCGAATCGGTCGCTATTTTTTATTTATTTCTTTCTTTTTTTAATTGTTTCCGACCGAATTGGTCGCTAAAAATGGCGCAGAACTTTCCCCCAAAATTTACAACGGACATAGACGCAATATTAGTCGTACGTATTATTAAAAATTGAAAAATATATTTTTGTGAATATTCCGACCGATTCCGTCGGAAATTTCCGACTACTATTTTCCGTCGCAAATTTCGGTCGGAAATTAGCCATTTTTTAGTAATGTCAGGAGGAAACATAGTGTACCATGCAGGTACAGCTGACGAGCTGGTGGGGTCAAATTTAGGCGGGTTAAATACGACTCAGAACTCATACCGCCCCACAGACCCAACCTCCCTTTTTATATAGTTTCTTATTTAAAAAATGAAACTTACTTAATGTATTTTTCTTAAATTGTTAGCTTAAATTCTTCTCCCCAATTACTTAGTTACATAGTAATTCTCAATCTCCAACAATTGATTATATATGTTTAAGTTTGGGTCCGTTTTGGACTCGTTTATATTACAAATATTTTGACTCGTTGTTATTTAGTTTCACATGTTGGATCAAGTCAATAGATGAATCATAACCCAACTAGTTTAAACTTTGAACTAAGTTAGAATAGTTATTAAAATGGATTAATTTTGTCATCTCTATGCGTAGGGTAGTGGTAAGATCTGTGTCTACAGTATCCTCCCGAGATCCCATTTGTGGAAATACACGTGATTAGTTGTTGTTACGTGCAGGTCTACATGCAGTTGATATGGATCTTGAGCCAATAAAGATAGAAGGTTTGATAATAGATCAAGCAACAAGCATAGTTTGGTGGGGTCCAGAGAACAGAATCTGCGATTAACTTAATCAATGATAAGGTTGTACTGTTTGACCAAATAGTTTTAAGCCCTTTTAGTTAAACCAATAAATAGACAGAGGAAAAATCGTAGCCAGAAATAATTCATTCTAGATCTGAAATGGAAGAAGGAATAAACAAGCCTAACTGAACATAAACTTTGATTACACTTGTTATTGAGTTTCATAATGGGAGAAATCGATGATTGTTCTAATAATATCAAATGATGATAAATGAAAAGAGTCACCATCCTTGAACAAGACCGACTTTCGTATATTTGATAAAGTTGAATTACATATGAATATCGAGATTCTAAACTCTTCTCCTTTTCCGGAAAGGAGCCTAAGATCCGGGAATATCTTCTCCTTCAGAGATATATATATGTGTTTCTGTGTGTGTGTTCCTCTCAGCCCCCTCCCTTTTGTTACTCTCTCCCATGATATTTATACAAAACACTTTCCTTACCCAGTGGTCCTTAACCGGAGTGCCTAAATTCTTTAAATATCCCGTAGAATATTCCTCTAAAATGTCTAAGTGTTGAACTAGCCGTTCTGGCCGAATTGAGTACTCGACCTCGACCGTAGCTAAATTATTCGATGGTGTATCGTTTCCTATACGTGACTTCGGCTTGGTTAATTCTTGGTCGTTCCTCCTTAAGTAGAATTCTTTTGACCAGATTTTGGCCTATACAGTTAGTCTATCCGTCCACTGGGGTCGCCTTTGAGCGAGCTCAGTGGGCGGACTTCGCCAGTTGCACCTTTTGAGAAATCTGAGCACATTGGCCGAAGAGTGAACCTTCATAGTGAGATAACGATGCGATGTCTCGAGAGCCATACTTGATCGTTATGTCAGTTCGAAATGATGTCAATCTGTCATGCATCATTATGACGCACGTTCCCTATACGTTACTTCGTTTCCCGTGCCTCCTCTGTTTTGGAAGTGACGTGGCGGTGTTTGGTTTTCCCGCTCAGGATGTTTGTACTCTTATAAATAAAGGAGAGAACTCCTCAATTGGAGTTGTTGTGTTTCCTATATATTTTTCGAAAAACTTCCCGACTTCTCTTTTCTCCTTCTTCAGGTTCGTACGTCTCCACCTCTCTTCTTTTGAAGTTTTCTTGCCAGTGTTACTCCCTCTACCTTAGCACTTATCATCTACATAACCAAAGAAAACATGGCTAGTTCACCTTCTACCTCTGATAGAGTTGCCGGTACCGTTGCATCGAAAAAGGATGTTCCCTCCCATGAAGAAGGGATGGCCATTGTGGAGGATGAGAATTTTCCACCGTGGATGAGATACTTCCACATTCGGGGAAAACCAGGACTGATTTCAAGAACTTACATGACGTTGATCCTGAGCCCGTCACTTCCTTAATGGACGTTGCGGCGCTTGCTACGCTTACAGCTAAGTGGAGGATTCCTGATCACGCTGAACATATTCCAACGGTTAACGAAGTCGTACAGATACATTGCCTGGGGTACTGCACGTTTTATGCGTACTCGTTTGTCATCGGTTACACACTCCCCCTTCCTTACCTGGCGGAAGATTTCTGCCTCTATTATGGGGTGTGCCCGGCTTAGCTCTCTCCGTATTTATTCAAGCTCTTCCTCATGCTTACCAAGTTCGCATAGTTGGCCGGCCCGGTGATTTCTCTTATTCACTTGCTTCACCTCTTCGTACCCAGTTTTTACAAGGGTACCATGATACATTTTCGTCACTATAGGACCAAGGGCTTACTGGTGAAGATGGATGATAAGACCAATCGTCGCTTTTGGGAGAGCTTCTTCTTTGTGAAGACGGAGCACGTGGTGTCAAATCCTAACGGATTTCTCGAGGAGTGGAATTACGCCCGTAAGTTTTTGTATATATATATATATATATATATATATATATATATATATATATATATATATATATATATGGAACGGCTTATCGTTGCCCCCTTCTGGTGATATGATTGTTCTTCTTTTTCCCTTTCTCTACTTTGCAGCCGAGAAGGCGCCTCCTCCGCTAGTCGCTGACATTCGCGAGTAGGTGAGCCAGGTTTTGCCCCATACGATGGGGATTCGTGAATGGTCGCCATTTCACGAGAGATTCGGGCGTAGACCTTCTACCGGTGAGTTATCACGTCTTGTCATTAGTCGCTTTGCCCTTTGTTCTGTATTTTCCTCCTTGGTTTAAGCTTCTCTCGTTGGTAGGTCGACGGGTCACGAAGAGGGCGAGGGCTTCCATACCCACTTTCCGTCAGTCGAGTCTCTCGAACGGATCTTCACCGATTGCGACCGTAAGTGAAAGCGTTCAGGTCGCTGCTACTTTACAGACTACGTCCCCTCCCAAGCTCGACCGTCGTGAGGTTGCTCGTCAGGCGGAGGCTCCGCTTCCTGTGGTTCATTTTCTGGACGAGTCGTCTCAGTACGACGGCGAAGAGGCTCCATTAAAGAGGCAACGAATAAGGGCCGATAAAGCACCCAGGACCGAGGGGCTTTCGAGGGGAAATCCCGTGTTGGCGGTGTCTGAGCCTGCTGGTGATGCCAATTTACGTGAGGAGACCGTGTCCCCCTCGGGCGTGGAGGTGGTACCCATTTCTGGCATGCGAGAATCTAGCGTGGTAGGGGGGCAGAAGCGCGTAGCTGTGGATGACTATGAATCCGGTTTAGATATTGACCCCAAGGACATAAGCATGTTTGAAATGGGGTTCACTCGGGTGGAGGCGAGAACAAATAGTTCCTCCCGTGTGATCGAGATTGCTCCAAATTGTGATTTATTGGAGGATACGGTGAGCCTGGCACCTAATTCGCCATCCTTTGTTCTGCTACTGAAAGCAGGTCCCTCCAGGAGATCAGCGATGTTGGCCTATCACGGGACGTAGCCGGAATGGATTTGAGGATGAGTTTATTGCTTTCTTCATTTTACATCTTCTACTCTTGCTGACTTTCTCTCTCTTCTCTTTTCTTTCTTCAGACTTTCATTTTTGGAAACTGAGAGCATCCGTCGCGAGGAGAGGCGGGCTGCCGCTTTTCAGAAAATGGTTTTAAAATACCACGGATATCGTGACAAGTGTCATGAGATGCATGCACGACTCAGGGCGGGCGGCAATCCTCACTCCCTTAAGGAAGAGTTGGTGCGGAAGGACGAGGACCTGATGCGTTCTATGGGCAGATGCAGCAAACTCGAGGGGCTGCTTATGGCTAAAGAAAAAGAGCTCGAGGTGGGGAAGGGAGTTGCAACTGAGTGTGTTGATCTTCGGGCGAAGGTGGTGACCCTGCGGGCGTAGCTTGAGCAGAATGACACTAGGGTCGCCGGTCTAAGTGTTGAATTGGTGGAGAAGATGACTGAATTGGAAGGGAAGGCGACCGAGCTGGAGAGGGCTGAGAAGGCCCGAGTAGCGGCCTTGGCGAGGGCTGCGGTACTGGAAGATTCTATCCGCTTTCTCAGGTCTGAACGCGCAACTAAGATAGAAATGGCCGTTCTATAGGAGGCGCGGCTTGACGAGCAGATTAGCGAGCTTGAGAGAGACGTCTCGAGCCTGTGTGATCAAATTACTGCCCTCGAGGCTGAGAGGGCGCAATTGTTGGCTTTGACTCCTCCTGTGTCCGCCTCTGTTGATGTTTCTCGCCCTTTGTACGAGATGTGGGTCCATGCTGAAGCTCAGCGAGATATATATAAGGACTTGTTGGCAGCGGGGAATGTCCCTGAAGCCGCTTTTGAGGAAGCTCGTGTTAAAGCGCGTGAGGCCGGCTTGCCTGCGGTTATGACCCCGCGACGTCGGAGGCCAGTGAAGTTGATGAGACCGAGGATGGGCTTACCTTTGACGATGAACATTCCGATGGAGAGGGTGACGGTGGAGGTAGAGCCCCTGAACCGAGCGGGGAGAGAGAAGATGGCGTGGATGAGGATAATACCGAGTGAAGCTTTTGTGCTTAATTTTTCCTCCTGTAGTTAGTTTTTTTTTATACTTAGTTGGTTGGGTGGGGGCCCCCTTTTGGCCCTTTGTAAGGCGCTAATTTTTGTTTGAATGAAATAGTCGATTCGTCTTTGATTGTATGCCTTTGGCCTTTCCTTCTGTTTTCTTTCCGAATTTCTTGGATCTTCTCGTGATAAGTCCGTGACGTTTGGTAGTTAACTCGAGTGGGGTCGAATTTGACCTGCTGATTCGTGCGAGGTCCAGCTTGACTTATTATCTCGAGTGAGGTCAGAGTTGACCTGCTAATTCGAGGTCGAACTTGACTTATTAACTCGAGAGAGGTCAGGTTTAACCTGCTAATTCGAGCGAGGTCGAATTTAATTTGTTAATTCGAGCAAGGTCGAATGTAGATTGATTCGAGCTAGGTCGAATTTATGTTAATTCGAGCGAGGTCGAATGTAGATTGATTCGAGCAAGTTCGAATGTTGACTAGCTAATTCGAGCGAGGTCGAATTTTGACTTGCTAATTCGAGCGAGGTCGAATGTAGATTGATTCAAGCAAGGTCGAATGTATGTTAATTCGAGCGAGGTCAAATGTAGATTTATCCGAGCAAGGCCGAATATTGACTTGCTAATTCGAGCGAGGTCAAATTTTGACTTGCTAATTAGAGCGAGGTCGAATGTAGATTGATTAGAGCAAGGTCGAATGTATGTTACCTTTGCGTTGGCGTGATTGTGTACATTTGGCGTTGTGTAAGAATGTCATACTGATTTGTTTATTCATTGGAGAATATTACATGTTTTCGTTCATATCCGTACATACATTCGAGGAGTCTAGTCTGTCTAGTCCCTTCATCGCTCGGCCTAGAGAAGTAGCCGATAGGTGGGGCGATGAATGTCTTGCTCAAGCTTTGGGACGTCTTAATGCATGGATGAGATCAAATTTTAGCTAGTTGTATCGTCGCATAGTTGCTTTGGCGAGCGCACGGGTGAGTTTCACGTACTTGTGTTCTGTCTACATGTTGGAGAGATTCGTATGTTTTCTGGGTTGGTGACCTAGTCCCAGTCTATACAGGCTTTTCCCTTTATGGCGTTAAGCACCAACCGTTGCCTGCAGGATGATATGGTGCGGAACGTTTTCTTGGTGTGTTGTTTTGATGGCTATTGTTCCTTGTTCGCGCATCTGGTAGAATGCTCCTGTTCCTATCCCAATCCAAAAGAAAAATAACAAGTTAATCCCAAATGAGATCGTTTGTTACCTTAACCTGATTGGTTGGCAATGCGAGATGGGCGCTATAGAACGACTCGTTTTGCCCCCGTACTCGAATGCTGGCTTCATATTTGATCCCAGCCTCGTGCTTAGCTTCGCCGTTAGTCGAGTGTAGGCATCTTATGGGCTGACAACTTACTTCGCCCGTTGGGATCTCGAGTTCGAGTCCCGGTCCGATCCAGTCCTAGGTGCACAAAAATAAGGGAAACATAAGTTATACTCTGTACATACAGGCAGGACAAGCTTGTTATTTCAAAGAATTACACAATAGGCTATCGTCTCTTCCTAAGAGAGAGGGGACAGTGTGCATAAAGTATAGATTGGTATCTAACGTTAATATAGAAAATAGGATTGCGGACGTGCTCAGTGCGTAGTGGCCATAATCCTACTTTGACAACTCATACTCACGACGTACCAAACCCATCACTACAGCAAGACGTGGCTTTCATATAGGTATCTAACATAATTTCGATTTCATGCAAAGATCTGACCTTGGTTGGTTTGGTTTTCAAAAGCTTGCCTACAAATTTCCCAAGTTGGTGTTTATAACAAGAGGGCGAGGCTACGACAACCGGGAAGTGGAACTCTGACTGACTTTAGATCTAGAGGAAACTAAAATTTTGGCTAAAAAATTTCCCATAGATGGCGCCAAATTATTTGACCAAAAGGTTTTAAGCCTTTTTAGTTAAACCAATAAATAGACAGAGGGCAAATCCTAGCCAGAAATAATTCATTCTAGATCTGAAATGAAAGATAGGAATAAAAAAGCCTAACTGAACATAAACTTTGATTACAGTTGTGATTGAGTTTCATAATGGGAGAAATAGATGATTGTTCTAATAATATCAAATGATGATAAAGAATACATAAATGAAAAGAGTCACCATCCTTGAACAAGACCGACCTCCGTATATTAGATAAAGTTGAATTACAGATGAATATCAAGATTCTAAACTCTTCTCCTTTCTCGGAGAGGAGCCTGAGATCCGAGAATTTATTCTCCTTCAGAGAGATGTATATGTGTTTCTCTGTGTGCGTTCCTCTCAGCCCCTCCCTTTTGTTACTCTCTCCCATGATGTTTATACAAAACACTTTTCTTACCCAGCGGTCCTTAACCAGAGTGCCTAAATTCTTGGAATATCCCGTAGAATATTCCTCTAAAATGTCTAAGTGTTGAACTAGCCGTTCAGGCCGAATTTAGTACTCGACCTCGACCGTAGCTAAATCAGTCGCTGGCATATCGCTTCCTTTACGTGATTTCGGCTTGGTTGATTCTTGGTCGTTCCTCCTTAAGTAGAATTCGTTTGACAAGATTTTGACCTATACATGTACCACTGCATATGTGCGATTTGATGTGGCTGTTAGCATTGCAAAAGGGTGTTGACATAGATCATGAGTATTGCAACCCGTCGATCGCACGGTCTGAAATACACAAAAAGATTGGACGGTTACCAAGGTGTTTAATCATAGGTTATAAAGGGGATCCACTAGTAGATCGGGAAAAACAACTATCAAAGATGTTGGAGTCACGTGGAGTGCACGTGGTGGGGGAATTTCTTGAAATAGGGTACCATGTTGTTGAGCTATGTGATTCTCAGATTGCCCAAGCTTTATATGATTTGATTTAGAATTTTAGCAGTGCCACCTGCTAGAACTTATGTTAGTTTTATTTCATTTTGGATTGATAATAATTCCTCTTTTTTTTTGGGGCATCAGTCCTTTTCCAAGGGAAGAAAATTTGAACCGGACACTTTTTTCTTTCTAGAGTAGTTGGGATAGAGTTGACATAAGGAAGTGCTTAGTATGCATCCTGGATATATTTTGTGGCTTGTTTGATACCAACGGAGTTAGACCGGGACAAGAAGATTACACAACCTTCCCTATGAGTTTTAAAATTCTTGTGTACTTTGGAAAAAAATGAATAGCCTGATTTGTGATACTTAAGCTCATTTTCTTGACTTCTATGTTCATTGTTGTTTACCTCGAAAAATACGAGTAAATTAAATTTGATTTGAGGTTTTAAAGATATGTGATTTAGTTCAATACCAATTAAGAATTAAGAAATATGAAGTAGAAATGAAAGACAGAAGTGAATCAAACCAATATTACTTAGCAACAGTGACCTCGAGACGGTGACTTCGAGGTGGCTTAGGGCAGTAAGAGCAATTAAGCAAAAAAATCAAAGTAAGAACAATTAAGCTAAGGGACAAATTCGGATGAACAACAGGCAAAAAGTAGAGAGTATATTCTTTGCTCAGTAAAAGATGGTCTTACAAATGATTGGGATCCCCTTTATATAATAGGGGAATCCTAAATAAGGAATATTTCTATTTACAGTAGGGAATATTCTTGTTACAGCTGTCTAACCGCCTTGTACGGAATTGTATGATCTTATTCCGGAATTTGCGCCATGATCTCAGGGACGTGGTAGGAATCTAACTCGCTCTGGTACGAATCCATAACGGTCCTATTTCGAGTTCGAGCATCCTTGGCCTCGGCGTTCCTCGAACTCCTGCCCACGGGCATTATGCTCTGTCTTCGATCTCGAGCCTGGTCCAGCGGTTTCGAACTTGACCTCTCCCGGACTCGGACCTAGGGCGGAACCTCAAGCTTCTACACCAGGGGCATATGACTTTGACCATATACAGATAGTCCCCGCGTTTTTTAGAATAAGATGATAAGAAATGATTTGCACCTCGACTTCCCCGAACTTCTCATGATGATGTCACGCCCATGACGTAGGTGCTTGAAATGATCGGGAATGTCACATTGGTGCTTTTCCCCAAAATATCACATGCGTGCCAGTGTTTGTCGGCCACTTGTGCCGCCGATCCGTCGCTGCCTTTCTATAAATAGGAGGCTACCCTGTTGAACAAAGAACCGTGCTTTTTTCATCTTTATCTTCTTTTGGTCTTCTCCTTTCTTTGCTTCCTTCTTTAATCGTCTATTTCCATGGTTCGAACCTGCGAACACATGGTCATATGGCAGCAACTTTACCAGTTATGCCAAGGTTTCCCTTTTCAAAGTTTTGATTCGAAACAACGTGAAAAGGGCGCCGAATCCTTCTCACATCAGAAAATATGTGAACTTTATACTGCTGCTCATTTCTCTTAACTTCAACTTGGTGTAGCACTTCATTCCTTTGGCACTACAACAAAAAGTGCTTTTAGCGGCTATTATTTAGTGGCAATAAAATAATTGCCAATAATTTATTCCTTATACGAAATTATTAGCGGCTAATGTGAATTAGGCGGCGAAGCTACGTATTTAGAGGCAATTAAAACAATTGGCCAGCAAATGAACAAAATTTATCCTTTTAATCTTCCCCACAACGCAAACCCTATGTTTTCTCATTCCTCTCTTCTCTTACTCCTCCCACCTCTGGCTTTTCTTTCTATAGTTTTTCTATTTTTCTACCCATCTAAATCATTTAAGATTTCCTAGTCCTTTTGGCAATCAATGAACGGTGAAGATAATAGCAGCAATCAAGAGGAAACAAAAAGATGGACACAGACATTACAACATTGATGATGCCCGATTAACCAGTTATAGATCGAAATCCCTGCCTTACCACTATCGTCTGCATCTCCATCACTGTCAGTTACCTCTCTTATACTTTTGCAATTTTTTCTACTTTTATTTATCATTTGTTAGCCACATCCTTATACAGATAGATTATTTTATGTATTCCATTTTGGTAGGAATTAGTTTTTCTTAATTGTGATTTCGTTTTTAGCTTCGCAGTTGTTTAATATTCAGTTTGTATTACAAAATCGATTTAATTCTACTTCATTTGCCTTTTACTATATTTCTTGTGATGGTATTTGATTCTGAATATTTTGAGTATTCTATATTACTTTTGGTGTTGCTTCTAGAGGACAAATTTAAGAAGCCTATTAAGTGTTTGATAAAATATCACACAGAGATATGTTTACTTGATACTAATGATTTAATATGTATGATGTTTTAATAGTAATTATATAAATCTTTGAAAGGCCAGATATCATTTTTTAAATTTTTTTAGACATTCATAGGTTGAGAAGTTTTAACTTATGTGACCCTAAGTTATATCATTTGAAAAGTTTAAAGACAAGTGCTCAGAAAGAGGAGAAATAGAGCATAAGTAAATGAAATAATAGACTAACTGAGGGAAAATTTCTCTATCTTTGTCTGTTGTATCTTTTACCATATTCAATACAAAAGCCGATGCGAAAATAGATTAAATGAGATCACTCAAAGAACTTACAAAAGAAAGGTAAAAACTTTTCTCTATGTAGAAAACCTATCTCCAATTATATATTGTGTAACTTAGTAAACAATTGAATGATTGAGTTATTGGTGTTAATTCATTATTTGTGGGCATAGTGTTGAAATGTTGAAGACATAGTGCGAGAGTCCAAGCAGGGATTGGTTATTATACTTTGGGTGAGGATTTGAATGGAAGTTGTTTCTAGCTAAAATTCCTTGTTATTTTGAGCCTAGATGGGGAAACTTTCTAATCAATAAACATTCTTCATTATTGTTTCTTTAAGAGGTAGAGGGAGAGGAAAAAAGTGAGAACATTCTGGGGCTTAGCACACACTGATAACTTTTTCTCTTTATTCTCTATTCTTGCATTCCATATATAAATATTTATTAGGATATCTTTACTTATAAATAAGTAACTGGATGATAGGTCATTTTTATTATCAATATTTTGTTTGTGCTAGGCTATTTGCTATTGTGGATGGTATAATTTTGCTTGTTTCAAGGTCAAATTGAGAATGTATAATATCTAAAGCAACAATAGGGTTAAACTATACAACAAATGAAGTAGTCATTGTTGTAGAGGCTTACAGGACTTTGGGGGATAGAGGTCTTTATTATGCAGACAAGTTGTTAGAGATCTTCATTGAGAGTTTTGTCATTCTCTATGATAGCTCTTCCACAACTACCTTTTTAGCTGTTGTGAGTGTTATTTATATATCATGATTTTGATCTCATATTTTCCTTAATATACTTGAAGTAGGACTTAGTGTACATTGTTCATTGCTATAGGATACTGAGGATACCGATGGGAGTGTACCCTTCTTCTAGGGTATGCTCCTTTCTTATAAATAATGTGAAAGTGGCTGAGCATACATTTAAATATTGTAATGCTGCTCAACCTTTTATAGGAAAAAAATGGATCTATACAAGAAAATTGTTAAAATGGATCAAGATGTCAACACGGATGGTATCCAAGTTGGTATATTATTTCTCTAATCGATTTGATAGAGATAAATTGAACATTTTTGAAGGAGAAATTTCTCTTTTATAGCACCGTTATAGTCACCTTGAGGAGCTAGTAAAATCACTAAATGAATCTTACAAATTTGATGAGCTACGAGCTAAACTAACTACACTGCTTGAACTTTTATTTGGTAACTACACACGTCTTTTGTATTTGTCCTTTCTGTGATGATATAAGCTTTTATTGAGTTGTCTCATCTGTTGCTATCTTTTTATCATAAAGTCAGTAAAATCTAATAAAGTAGATTATTTCTAAAATATAACTCCAATTCTTTGTTATTTTTTGTGCTGAATCGGTACTAAGTTATTGTTCCTGAGAAGAATCTTGCTAATAAAAACTATTTCTTGGAAGAAATTGTGGTTGATCTTTTTTGTTCTTAAATGTGGCATTTGAGCTTCACTTTTCTGTGAAGAGGGTCAATTTCCAAGAGCTTTCTTGAATAACTTGCATTTTTCGAAACCAAATCGAAAATTGCTTGTTTGAACGTGTGTTCTTATTGACTTAATAGGAAGTAGCAACAATAAATGTGATCCTCAATGAACAAGAGCTCGGAGTGAGAACTTGAAGAGAATAAAAAAAGGCAGCCTGATGCACTAAGCTCCCGCGCACGGAGAAGGGCCGGACCACAAGGGTCTATTGTGCGCACTTTTTACCTGAAGAGAATCAAGGTTCATTTTATCTGCATAGTCTACATTTCAACTATGGATAAGTTAATATCTTTTCATGACTAGATGCACTAAATTTTCTGCAACTTTTATTATGCAGTTTCATTTGGATCTACAATCCACATATGCATGGCTGCAGAATTAGTGTCCAACTTATGCAACTTGTTGGTTCATCAAGAACCGTCCATGCTGGTTTAGACTTATCAGGATACACCATGAATGATGACCTGGTATCATCTGATTCAAGATAGAAAGTTGATTGAGAACCATAATAGATTGTTTGTTCTATCACATCTAATAATGATGTCCTTAAAGAGTTAGAGGTTGGAATTAGGCTTGTCAGATTGAGAACTACTGATATTGGATTCAAATGATGTATTTTTTCTTTTATATTGTTGACACAACTTTTTTTTATATTATCGATTTAATGATACATATTGTACTTTATAAAATGAATTTTAGGTTTTATGTTATTATTTATGCGAGAATATTTTTTTCACTATCAAAGAATGACGTTGGAATCATTTTAATGACAAATAGGCATAATGTTTCCCAGTGCTACCATTTGCCAATATGTGAATAGTTTTATCGGCAATAAAAATGGTAAGGGTAATGGTCGCCAAAAGGTTCTCTTTTTACTGGCAATAAATAAATATTTACTGGCCATACCAATTGCTACTAAAATCATTTCAGAGGCTAATTTAGGGGTAGTTTTAGTGGCCATTATAATTGCCAATAAATAATGCCGCTAAAAAATCGAACTTTTAGCGGCAATAATTGGGGCCTTTACCGGCATTCACTATAATTGCCGCTAAAACTTTTAGCGACGCTGGATACAACGGCAAATAATTAATTGCCGGTAAAAGTTTTTGCGGCAATTTTTATTGCCGCTAAAATAAAATTTTATTGCCGCAAAAAGCCTTTTTTGTTGTAGTGTGGCTCTTCATGGAATGACGTGGCACTATCATCTAGTATTTTTGCATCCCACTCCGGAACAATGTCCCAAGGATAAACATTCTTGGATCGTTGCTCGTGCACCTTGCAACCCCTTTGATTGTTCTTGTGATGGAAGGCGAAGCTACATCTTCTGGTCTTCCCTTCTGGTCTCTTTCTTTTGCTGCTCTTTTAATGGGTTACGGCCCAAAATTTCAGGAGAACGTTCAATCTCCGCTGCTAGAAATATAGTTACATTTTTCGAAGACTTTCTGCCTCAAATCTCTTTGGGTACAAAGAGATTCCAAACGTTCAAAAGGGGGTCCACGGGAAGGAGGCTCTCGAAGACGATGCCCTCGAGAACATGGCCTAAAAAGTAGATTAGTTTTTTTGGCTTTTGTTTTTGCTTCTTTGTTTCTATGTAAGTACCCTTCGTGGGTGGTGTAGTTATATTTTGTAACCGTCTCTCGAAAATATAAAAGGATACCTTTGTCTTCCTTTTGGCTCGTGTTGAATTCCGTTCTGTCTTTACTTGTAAAAAATGTGATTGTATAATTTTAACGACTAGTCCAAACACCAGACTCAGGACGTAATAAACCCTGAGATTTTTAATCAACCAGCATAATATCCCTTAAGGCTTTTGTTAGTCCTCGAGCTGGGCTTATATCGATTCGATGCGAACTCGGAACATCAAGATTCTTGAGTCCGAGTTAAGTGAGAGCAAGGTCTCGAATTCGAAATAAAGTTAGCCTTTAGGCTCCATAGACGATCATCGAGTGAGAACTTCCTACGAACTTGGATAGCCCTTGGACTTAGTAGTCAAGCGAGTACTTGCTCGAATCCTGAAATAAAGTTAGCCCTTAGGCTCTTTTGTAGTCCCCGAGTGAGAAACTTCTCAAACTCGGGTGGCCCTTAGGCTTAGTAATTGAGTGAACACTTTGCTCGAACTCGAAATAGATTGATAAAAAACGGATTGATCTTCGATGCCTCAATTCTGATGCCAATCTCGTGACGTCAGCGATTGAAGTGACTGAAAAGGTTGCTTTTCGTGCGGTTTCCAAAGTCATTGATTGGAGGCGGATGACGGTCGGCCTTTTGGCTTCCAAAGTATGGTTAAGTGACCTCTATAAATGGACAAACTTCATAACCTTGCAAACTTTATTCTCATATTGTTCTCAAAGTTTTATTAGCTCTTTCAATTTCTCTGAATTCCTCCTTCTCTTCTATCTCACAATCAACACTTTCCATTTTCTTTGAATTTCTGTGTCGTGATGGCTAAAACCTCTCAACCGGTTCCCTAGGAAGAAAAAGCTTCTTCATCTTCCTGACCGACCAAGAGCAAACCGGTAGTGCCCCCTCGTATTGATGAGTGCATCCCTCCGCCATGTGAAATAACGTCCGATTTCAAAATCGAGAAACCTGTGTCAACACCAGGCCGATGCGAGCCCATGTCTCGATATGTTCGCTTGATAACCAAGGACGAGCTTGAGCAAGCAAAGGAAGACTGCAAGTGGGAGAACAAAGAAGTAGTGGTTCCTTCCTCTGAGGAGGATATCACCACATATAAAGCGGGGAACTTGAGCGTATACACCTACCCATTCACGCTGGGTCCTGCAATTCCGGCTCACGGTCCCATAGATCCAGTTATTCTTTACTTTTGCCAACGATACCGAGTGACGCTTGGCCAGATATACCCCTCATTTTGGCGAATTATTTACTTGATCAGATTCTTTTCGAGCCAAGTCGAGGGGATGTCCTTCACCCTCGACCATCTGATCAGACTGTACAGTCCCCAACTTTATCGAGGTGGCTTGATAAAATTGCAATGCCGATGCTTGAAATCTCTCTTTTGTAGTATCGACAAGGACAAAGACCCAGGGTGGATGAGCCGATTTGTCCGAATCAGGACCTCTAACCTGATTCCTGCTGATTGGATGTCGTTCCCCGAGGAGTGGAACATGAAACGTAAGTATATGGCAGGTCTATACCCTGCTTTCTCTTCTCTTTCTCAGCTTTACCCTTTTCCTGGGTCTAACCCCTTTCCAATGGCGTAACCACTGCTTGGTTCCTGGTGGGGTCCCGAACCTCGAAGGCTGGGTCCGAAAGCTGGCTTCCACTTCCTCTTATTCGGAGCGTTGCTGGCGTGATTTGGTCAAGGGTCGATGGGAGGCCAAAAACCATGGTGAGCTCTCTTGTTTGTTGTCTTGTGCTTCTCTCGTGGGATACTTATTTTGGTTTCGTGCAGGTCTTAGAGACGATGTTGCTATGCGGCCGGCCTCGGCCGATGAAGAAGAGATTCCGAAATCTTCTAAAGAAGGAAAAAGAAAAAGAGAGTCATCTGTAAATCCCCTGAGGCCTAAGAAGAGCGTGGCTCGAAGGTCCAAGGCCGATACGGCGGCCTTATCTCTGGAAACGGCCCAACGCCTTCGGGGTCTGGAGGAAGAAAAAGATGACGACTGGCTGCTGGTAGCTCGTGAAAGAGGAAATGCCGATGTTTCACAGTTCGTCGAGCTGGTGATGGTTGAAGTGGATTATTCCAGAGCCGAAGAAATTTCCTAGGGGAGTTCAAACAAAGTCCCCGAGCCATCGTACAGAAATAAGGAACCTCGCCTAGGAGGCCATTTGGAGGTCGAGGCCGAACGGCCCGATTCCGAGCCTCTTCAAACAAAAGAGAACGTCCCGAGTGGATCACTTGGGGTAATCAATGTGGATGACTCACCGCTTGGCCCCGAGTTCTCCGAGGGGCAAATTCGAGATGCTTTGAATATGAGGTCTTCTGAAGTGGAAGCGAGCCACGAAGGGCATGACATCTTTCGAGAATGCCTTGCAAGACTTGAAGATGGCCTCGACCCAGATGATTCCTTCATTTTCGATGAGGCTCGTCGACTCTTCAAACAAGTGAGTTTTTCGCTTTTTATGCCTGCGCCTTTGTTTTTGCTGTTCGAAATCTATATTTCCCTCCTTTTTTATAAAGTTTGTGGTGCTCCATAAAAGGGCATTTTCCAAGTCTCGAACTGATCTTGCTCGATGGGAGGCTGAGCTTAAGAAGGTTTCGGAAGAGGGACAGTCTCAAAACTCTTTATGTTAAGAAGGTGGGGGATATCAACGACCTTCGAGTTAAATTGACGCAGGCTTGCCAAGGACGGGCCGAGTTTGTTGAAAAGGTAGTATAGCTTTGAGGGTCTGTTATGTACTTGTTTGTTTTGACGACTAATACTTTTAACTTCGTAGTTTTATCAGAAGGGAGAATTGGTGATGCAGCTTCGGGAGGAGCTTAAGACGAAGGGGGCCGAGACCCTGGGGTGGAGGCAAAACATGGACGATCTCGCCTCTAAGAAAGAAACTCTTCTAGAAGAGCTGGCTTCACTCGAACGTCAGTTCCAAAGTGTGAAGGAGGAGAACCCAGCTCAAGGCTGTGAAATAGAGGAGCTTAAAGCTAAGTCCACTGCTGAGTTGGCCAAGGCTAGATCCGACGCTGAGGCAATTATGTCTTCGTACCAAGCCGATACCGAAGCGGCTAACACCTGGGACATGGAGATTTCCACTGCGGCCGAAGTTAAGCTATCATGTGAACTCGACCATGCTAGGCGACAGTCCCGGAGGGAAACCCTCGAGGAGGTGCAGCTCGTGGCTTCGATCTTTCAGCCGATATCGAGAAGGCGAAGACCCTGGAAGAGGAAGTTACTGCTTTGCTTTCTGATGAGGATGGTTCAACCACTGGCTCTGAGAGTGGAGAAGACGAAGACGAAGTCCCCGAGGATGAAGCTCTCGGAGATGCGGCCCCTGAAGATATGACCCCGAAGTAGTTTTATGTTTCTTCATTTTGTTTTTGTGCGAGTGTCCCTCGTGTAAAATCTTCTGTAGTCATCTTTTGGAAATATAAGGGGAACTTTTTATCTCATCTTTGACTTGTGCTGGATTTCATATTGTCTTTATTTAAGGAATACTTGGTTTGTATAACTTGAGTGATTGATTCGAGAATTGGTTCATACTCGAGATATAGTTAACCCTTAGATCTTTTATGGATATAATAATCCTCGAGCCAAATTTAATCGATCCGATGTGAGCTCGGGATATCGTGACTCATAGTCCGGGTAAGGCGAGAACGGAGTCTCGAACTATAAGTTTTTGGCCCTTAAGCCTTTCGAAGTTGACCCTTGGGCTCTTATATATCGGCCCTTAGGCTCTTTAGATTGGCCCTAAGTCTCTTTAGATTGGCCCTTAGGCTCTTTAGACTGGGCCGTTTCGGCCTCTAGAATGGCTACATAATTTTTCCCTCATTTCGGCTAAAAGACATAGTGAAAATTTAATTATGCCTTAGAATGTTTTTTTTGTACCCGTTGGGTTTTTCGAAGGTTTGACGTATCGGGACCTTGTTTGTGTCCTGATAATCGAATATCTCTTGAGGCTTTATCGAGGGCTGATGCAATTGAAGCCTCTAAGTTATTCGAGGGCTGAATTTATCGAAGCCCATTAAATTGTTCGAGGGCTGAATTTATCGAAGCCCATTAAATTATTTGGGG